ATGCGGCTTGGCCTGCTGTGTTCATCTAGCTCTACACCTTGTTATCTCAGATTCTCCAGCATCTGCAGTTCCTACTATCTCTCTAACCAATGTCCTATACAGCTGCAACATGACCTCCCAACTTCTATACTCAATGCACTGACCAATAAAGGCAAGTATACCAAACACCTTCTTCATTATCTTGTCTACCTGCAACTCCACTTTCAAGGAACTACGAACCTGCACTCCGAGTCTCTTTGTTCAGCAACACTCCTCAGGACCTTACCATTAAGTGTATAAGTCCTGCCCTGATTTGCCTTTCCAAAATGCAGCACCTAACATTTATCTAAATTAAACTCCATCTGCCACTCCTCGGCTCATTGGCCCATCTGATCCAGGTCCCGTTGTACTTTGAGGTAACCTTCACTGACCACTAAAGTTGCTGTTTTAACAGGATTGTTCTTGTTTTGAAGGAATAAAGAAGGGTGCTCCAATCCAGCCCTGAAGGAAGCTGTTCTTCACGATTTGAATGTGCTGACAATCTAGCTTGGAGAAATGGTTATCGCAGCCTCCCTAAATTCAGAACAAAAGCCCAGAGAGACTGAGTTATTTACATTGGGTTTAACGTTTTGCAGAGTTGACTTTTTTTAAAAAAAAACCTGGACGTACGGTAGACCCATTGCAGAATCTGAGTGTGACGTTCACTGTCGTTTCTGCAGCCAGTTTTGTCATTCTATAGTCCTAGATCAGTATTACAACAGAATTGTGGCAGTTTTAAGGCGGTAAGTAACTGCTCGAGACAGAGGATTATTGGAGTTTGGTGGTTTACGTTTTACAATCCCTTGTTTAGACCTATCAGTATCAAGGATGCTTGAGACATCGCACAGAGCGGGACAAACGTGATATAAACCGTCCCAAATATTTTTTAAATGAATATTGTGGCGTGCCCACCCTTAAATGTGAGGTCGAAAGGTTACAATAATCGTTTGACTAGTAAGGACGCAGTTGAAGCATAAATAGCCAGTCGGTTCCCGCCGATTTCTGCAGAGGTCCCAGTCTCAACACCTTGCAAGAGAGCCACAGCACACCGATTACATTAACAGCTCAACTTGCAGTGAGTATGCCCGGGCTGTACTCCTGTATTAGAGTAGAAAACCGTGCAACTACACAACAGCTGGCTCAGTTACCCAGGCTGGGTGTCTTTCTAGCACAATCCCTTCATCTGCTGGTTTTTTCAATTTGTTATTTTTAAACTCTGTCTTGCTGGGGAAACAGATCGTTTCACACCGTATTGTAAAGAAGGATTTCCTCCTAATCTCCTTGTGATAGGCTTCGGTAGTGATCTTCAAATATATTGAGCAGTCTCCGCTCTCTAAGGCGTATTGGCAGTTAATTTAGACTTTGTCAATGCAACATAACACCGAAATACGTTTCAGTACAGCGTTGGCAGTAATCGTTAATGGTGAAGTCATTTTAAAAAGTGTTTTTACATTTAACATTAAGGCAAAATACATCTTTTAATAGTATACTTGTTTCCTGCAGCACGTTTTTTGATTTTTTTTAAAGAAAAGCCAGAAACCAGCCGTCCGCAGCGACCCTGATGGCGATGTGTGAATTGTGGAGAGTTTGGGGGATGCTTCTTGTGACGGTCCTGGGCTGCGGGCGATGCCGGCCCGTGGATGGGGAGCCTCCGTGTGCGGCCAGCGGCCGAGCCAAGTACAGCCTCATCTTCACGGGCAAGTGGAGCCGCACCGCCTTCCCCAAACAGTACCCGCTGTACCGGCCCCCGGCTCAGTGGTCCCCTCTGATGGGTGAGTGTGTTGTGTTCCCTTGTCAGAGTATAACACCCCCATGCCACCTACAAACAACGCGTGCTCAATTCTGACCTTAGAAAGACTACTTTTTTTAAAAGAAAACTAATTTTAATAAAACTAAAGTGACTATAACATTGCTTCCCAACTGTAAAACCCTGTCAGGTCTGGATTTTTTTGAGTGCCACTAAGACCAGTTTTAAAGTTAACTTTTTTAAAAAAACATTTACCCCCTTTCCTTTAAGATATTTCACCCTCAGTCTCTTCCTGCCCGAATGAAGTGGCCGCTGCTCCTTCTCCAGGAGAACTCAGTGAAACATGGGGATGGCGCTGCCACCTGGCGGACACTTCATCTTCTCCAACTCTCTCTCTCTTTCCATCACTCTCTGTCTCTCTCTCTGTCTCCACCTCTCTCTCTGTCTCTGTCTCCACCTCTCTGTCTCTGTCTCCACCTCTCTCTCTGTCTCCACCTCCATCTCTCTCTCTGTCTGTGTCTCCATCTCTCTCTCTCTCTGTCTCGGTGTCTCTATCTCTCTTTCTCTGTGTTGCCCTCACTCCTGAGGCAACGTTCGGACCTCGTTCAGTTCAAGCAAAGTGTGATGTTGAGAACAGATGTCTTCTTTAATTCCGAACGATGAAGTTACCTTAGGAAATCACGTTTATCTTCAGCGCACCTGACATTTCGTGAAGTATTTGCGTTGATAATCGTCCTTGTCTTTAAAAAAAATCATGGATTGGCTCAAAGAGGCCACTCGACCCGTTGTGCCACTGCTGGTTGCCTGCAGAAGCAATGTCCCTAGTGCAACTCTCATGTTTTCTTCCTTAGCACTTTTTTTCATTGTCAGATAATAATCCGTTCCCTTTTAAGTGCATCAATTGAATCTGTCTCCACCACAGTCTTATGTAATGGATTCCAGATCTTAGTCTCTTGCTATGTGAAAACATTTTTTCCCCATGTTGTCATTGCTTCTGTCTTCCAGTTACCTTAAATTTATACCCTCTGGGTGTTATCCTTCTGCTGGGTGGCACAGTGGTTAGCTCTGCAGCCTCACAGTGCCAGGGACCAGGGTTCAGTTCTAGCTTTGGGTGACTGTGTGAAGTTTGTACATTCTCTCTGTGTCTGTATGGGTTTCCTCTGGGTACTCTGGTTTCCTCTCACAGTACAATTAATGTGCAGGTTAGGTCAATTGGCCATGCTAAGTTACCAATAGCGTCCCAAGATAGGTGGATTAGCCATGGGAAATGTAAGATTACAGGGATAGGGCAGGTGAGGTGAGTCTGGGTGGGATGCTGTTCAGAGAGCTGGTGTGGATGTGTTGGGCTGAATGACCTGTTTCCAATGTGTAGTGATTCTATGCTGGTTTCCTCATGATATCTAATATATGTATCAAATTTCCTCTCCAAGATTCCCTGCTCCAAGGAGAACAGTTCCAAATTCACCATCCCTGTAGCAATTCTTGTTAATCTTTTGGCAAGTTACAATGGCATGTGTTGTGCTACAATCTTAGCTGTTTTACATCAACGAGAGGAGATTTTCCTCTTTAGGTGGCTTTTTAAAAAGAGAAATTGCAGCAACCAATATTTGGGGCAATCATCAATCAAATTAACCTGTATACACAGGATGAGACTGTTTCCATTAACTTCCAGTCACACCTGAGAAAGCTAAGGACTGCTTCCAGCATTTTTTAAACAAAATCAAGACTCCACAGCAATACTGATGGAGGACAACACTGACTAAGGTTTGGGTGAGACATTAAAGCCACTTAGATACCCACCAACCACCTCTCTCCCTGACATTTTTGTTCTTCTTTATCTTTAAAGGCACACCACTTCCCCTAGTGAGGCAAAATTATCATCCTGGCTCAGCCCTGTTCTCTAGACCATAGAAAAGGAGATATTGAATCTATTAGACAAGTAATCTATATTTTCAGAATGACCATACAGTTATTTAAATTGTTTCTTTCTGGAGTACAGAAGAGTGTAGTGCTATCTTGTTTATGTAACTGAATTAGTAAAGCTGGTTTTCTATTTCCTGAAACAGTGGTCACGCACAGCAGTGACTACCACATGTGGAGAGTGGGTGAATATGCCAGCAATGGAGTTCGGGAATTTGCGGAGAAAGGTGAAGCTTGGTCTTTGATGCGAGAGGTGGAAGCATCAGGAGAAAAAATCCAGAGTGTCTATGGAGTTTTCTCAGCACCAGCTATCCCCAACGGCATAGAACAGACCTCCACTGAATTTGAAGTACATGCCAGACATTCTCTTGTGAGTATTTACCCATCCGTGTTACTTAGCCTGTACAAAGAACAATACAGCACATGAATAGGCCCCTCGGCCCTCTAACCCTGTGCCAACACATTTTGCCCTTCCACGTTAAAACTGTCTTCACTTACAGGATCTGTATCCCTCTATTCCCTTCCTATTCAGTGTATTCGTCCAGGAGCTTCTTGAACGCTGCTATTGCGTCTGCTTCCACCACCTCCTCCGGCAACGTGTTCCAGGCACTCACCACCCTTGTGTGGAAAACCTGCCTGGCACATCGCTTTTAAACTCCTCCCCTCACCACCACCACCTCACACCTTGAACCTGCGACTCTTAGTAATTGACCCCTCCACCCTGGGAAAAAGTCTCGTACTTTCCACTCTATCCATGCCATTCACAATCTTATAAACTTCTATCAGTTTATCCCTCAACCTCCTGGTTCCATTGAAAACAAAATCAGCTATCCAATCTTTTTCCATAGCTAAAATCTCCCATTCCAGGCAACATCCGGCAAACATCTTCTGTACTTTCTCCTGTATCCACATCCTTCTGGCATTGTGGTGACCAGAATTGTACGCAATATCAGTTTAATCTAATTGGAAAATGGCCCATCACCTCTGAGTTAATCCATCAAAATGTGCAACAGAATTATCTTAAACTGGATGACCTTTTTTTTAAATCATATTATTGGGGCTCATGATTTATCATAGAACGCAATTTATCACAGCATAGAGAGGCTATTCAGTCACCTCCAGGCTACAGCAACCCAGCTGGTCTTGCTCCCCTGTGCTTTCTCCGCAGTACTGCAAATATTTTCCTTTCAGATTATTCTCCAGTTCTCCTTTCGAAAGGTTTGGTTGAATCACCACGCATTCGTCAGAGATGCAGTCAGAATCTAGTGTTTCTAAACTATTATTGGCTTAATGAAGGGCAGCAAACTGGATTATAGACAATGAGGGGGATTCTACTTTTGGGTGATGGTGAAAAGTGGGTGTTATCAAATTAGTATTATACAGCATGGTCTTTATTTTCCATGGAAGTCATGAGAAGGAAGTGTTGGGTGTGTTGCATGATGAGTTTCCAATTAAATGTCACCAATTTTACACTAATATCAGCAATTAAAATTATCCACTATGTGTGGATTCACCAAGATCCTAATATGATGCACTGCATGAGGTTGCTTGGCCTACTTGCTGTTGTAGAAAAAGAGCAGACAACTGAACCACAGGTACCAGAGTGGACTGGCTTGGAAGGACCGTTGCTCTGAACTTTTTATTTCTCTATTTTCTAATTAATTCCTACAATTTGAAATGTTGAACTTTTTATTTTTAATTTCTAATTTTTTTTCCTAAGAAGTGTACTGAAGAATCTGTACCGAGGTATCTTCGCATCTAAGATGGTGCCGTAAATGGCGACTTATAAACTTTTCACTGTGCTCATTTGAGTAGATGTGACAGTAAGCTAATTCAATTCAATTAATTCTCAACAGAAAATCATCGAGTAAATGCAGCCTAGGAAGTTCTCTGGGGTGTTCCTCCTTAGTGTTTGGGTTCACCTTGATGGTGATAAAGGCTTTAAAATTGCATTGATTCCTGAGGGAAAATGGGAATTTGTGTATATCCTGGTTGACTCACTTTTACTGGAAGTTTCACATTTGGTATGAAAGTTGCCCACAGATTATCCAGCTGTGGGGGAGGGGAGGGGGAACAAAGAAGCCAGACATGTGAATAAATAAGTGAGCTGCATACCAAGTAACAGCTTTTGGACAGAAAGGAAAATGGACTGATAACAGCACAACTGGAAGTCTATTGCTGCCTGACTGGTTGGCTGTTTGTCTCTTTCTACCTCTCAAAACAGCACCCATTGCAAAAGCAAATTGGAGAAACATTTATTCACTATATCTACATCTACACATCTATACTCAAGAGAATCTATAAATTACATCACTGGTCAGGATACAAGACATCCAATAAACAACTATTGTTTCAGTTCAAAGCCAAACATCTTAATGCCTCTAAGGATATTTTAAACTGCCTACTCTTAACCTTCCTTTTTGTACTAGGCAGTCTCCCCTTTTAAAATTATAAACCTGTGCTTGTATGTATTTTTGTCTTTTTTATCTCTCAGAGTTAGGAAGTAATAAAATGCCCTTTTTTATTTTCAGTCTAATAAATATTCTAATTGGCCTCTTCATTGTTGAATTGTTTTAATTGAAATGTGGTATAGCTGCATGCAAGAAATAATTTAAAATCTTCTGTTACGGACAACTGAGGTGGCAGTAAAAATAGGGGAGCTGATTCACCCACCTCACTTGGGCATAACAGGGTAGAGAGCGTGGCCAAACAGAAATTTGACAGATTCATTTCAGTTACTTGATTTGGATCCTCAAACATTTTGCTAAGCTCCTCTTGCCTGTCTGGCCAACATCAAAAGGCCCACCCGTAGGGAAAACTGTGCTCTTAAGTTGTACTTGAAATATGGTGGCCAGTAGCAATGGAATCATGCATCAGCACACTGTAACCTTTTGATAAAAGGTTACAGATATCCCAGGGGTCATGGACTTTTAGTGAGGAGCAGCAGTTTAAAAAGCATGCAATCTGAATAAACAAATACATCCAATCTATAACATGAGAATGGTTTATCAGTCGCTACTTACTTGGAGAGCTTCCCTGTCCCCATCAACCTTCCTACTGCCTTGGTTAGCTACTTACATACCTTTATATTTTAGGGGTCAGTTGTTGCATCAGTTATTCATGTAATTCCATTTATCAATTCATTTCACTTGTGGAGGAGGAGAAATGAGATATCTGAGGTGAACTATTCCTAACCTAGGCTCCAACCCCAAGAGATCATTCTTTCAATTATCACTTGTATGGATGTTGTGTGAAATATTTTACTGACCCCGGCTAGAGACTTTGCAGGTGAGAGTCCCATAAAAGTTTCCAGTTGGCTTCTCTGCTGCTCAGCCTTTCGCCCGTCAACCATCTGAAATTTCCGAAGGGGACAGAAAGACCTAGCTCCAATCGAGGCCCTTGGCTATGAGCTATTACTGTTTCTTACAATTTCACAACTTCTACTAACTGTGGCTTTGCTCCTGACTAATCTAGCTACTCCTGAGTTATTGGCCATTATCCATCATACTTTAGTCGGATATGTAGGTAATATACCAAAGTTATTAGAATCATCAACTCAAACACTTCACTTGTCACTATAAATAAAGCAAGCATCCTGAATCAGACAGTTTGGCTAATGTAAACCATTTCATACCAAAGGCAAAGTTGCCATAGTCCTACTGAACGATAAGGTTGCTCTCACATTAGAGAGAGAGAGACAAGGTAGTGTTGATTTAAGTTGAGTGCCACCATGTCTGACAGGAGGGGAAGATTGAGAAGAAGAGTCGTTCATGGTAGCCTCAGCCAGTGTAGGAATTCAACTCTCGCTGGCATCGTTCTGCATCACAAACTTGCTGTCTGGCCAACTGTGCTAAACAACCCTGATTTCCTTACTGATTACAAATCTGTCTATTTCAGCTTTGAATATTCTTAATGACCCAGGCTCTCCAGCACTCTGTGGCAAAGAATACCACAGATTGAATACCTTCTGAGAGAAGAAATTCCTCCTCCTCTGTCTTAAATGGATAACCCCATACTCAGATTATGCCCACTGATTCTAGACTCCCCCACAAGAGGAAACAAGCTCTCTGCTCTACCCCGTCAAGTCCTCTAAGTATCATTTCGATAAGGTTGCCTCTCATTCATCTAAACTCAAACTCCCCTTCAAGTCCAGGGGTCAGCCTTGTGAACCCTCTCTGGACTGCCTCTGATTGCTGCATTCTCTCACCTTGATCATTCAGCAACAATTTGCCAGTCAACACCCTTTTCTCATGCAATACAAATTACTGCTGCGTTCGAAATTTACTACTCATGCTTTTGTGCAGATGACTGCTAAATGAAATGCTTCAAAACATTGTCTGTTTTACAGCCACCCAATATTCCCAGCTTTTAGGTTTCCTGGAAATACTGTAGTGTTATGTAGTGCTGATTTTAATACTTCCTGTTATGTAGGCAAATAGGACTAGTTTCGTTTGGGAAACTTGGTTAGCATGGACAAGTTGGACTGAAGGGTCTGTTTCAGTGCTGTGACTCTATGACTCTGAGATGCTGTCTCATTCATTCTGGGGAAAATCCTTTTCAGCTGTACCCTCCAACCCATGCACTTTGGGAAAACTTTCCTTTTAAGTCCAAAATGGTCTGTGCAGTGTTCTAGAAGGGAATTAATTAGTTAATGCGTATGTGACTTGAACATATCATGATGCAAAGGATAAATATAAAGCTAATTACAGTGGCTTTTTTAATTAACCTTTTCTTTATGGCAGACAATTCAATACACAGAATTTGTATGAGAGAAAACAAGCCTAGCTCTCTCCAAATGGAACAGTTTTCAGTTTGGCATTTTTCAAACAGATCCTTGTGAAGCAGGTCTCTGAGATTAGAACACAGACTTTATTGCTTCTGTTGTGTAATGCAAAAGAACAGAGAGCTGAAGAGAAAAGGAGCAAGGAGTTGTGGATTGGACAAGAGCCATTGCTACTAATTTGTGTGGACAGAGCCTGTGAGAGCCCACCAGACCATTGTAATGTGTCAGAAAAGGGAATCCCGGGCAATTCTGTGCCTTCGGGACTTGTTGTCCATTGAGCGAGAGAGGGTTTGTAAACATGCGACTGCTTGGCGTAATTTTTGATGGAGCATGGCTCCCCGTGAATGTGACTCAAGGACCGAAGCAATTGAGCAATTAGTAAGAGATCCCACATAGCACAGGCCAAGTTGTTAAAAACTGAGATTGCATGTGCATTGCATGTACATTTGTGTAAGGAGTAATGCAAGTCAGTGTAAATACGTACGGCCTTGTTCAATCCTCACTTCATTCTCACCTGTTTCGCACCATCTCTGAAACTTACTATATCCTTTATAGTATTCCTTTGGTTGGGGGGGTGGGGGGTGTTG